TATTTTTATTATTTAAAAAATTTAATAAAAATAATTATTATTTTTTTAATAATATTTTATATTATAAATTTAATATAAATTATATTTTATATAAATTTTTTTATTTAATATAATTAAAATTAAATATATTTTTTAATTTAATAATAAAATGTAAATAATAAAATTTTTAATTATTATAAAATAAATAAATATTTTTAATTATTTAAATAGTTTAATTAAGATTTAAAATTATATATATATTTAAGGTATAAAATTTTAATATAAAAATGGAAATATAAGAAATTATAAGTGGTTAAGTTATCCCTAGGTTACGTGGGGCTGACTAATTTAATAAAACGTTATATATAATACTAGAATAAGAGTTCGATAACGCCCCGTTCTTTATTTCGATGATACTAGAAATCACTTCTTAAAAGAGGAAAGTTCAGTTTAGTCAACCATAGAACATATGCAATGCTCGTTAAGCGTCGACACTTGTCGGTGCACCCTTCGTATACGTATGACCAATCGCCAGTTTACGATATGATCAGCCCCTGATATTGCTTCTAAAAATTAAATTATTATCTCATCCTAGGGCTTATGTATGTGTATGGCCTCATCGAGATTCGGATCTCTTAAGTCCCTAAACTCCGCGTGACCGTCAATAATCAGACGGCCGCAATCAATCCGTATGGGTAAATAGGATCCGTTGTTAAATTGTAAATCATATTAAATCTTTAATACTACTTATAATTAGATAGAGTATATTCATTATTTTCCTAATGTTGTTTATATAAGCATCTATTACCTATATCTAGTTTGGTGTGATGGCGACTGGGAATTTAATTAATTACACTAAAAATTTTATATGTTGCATAATAGCATATTTAGATGGTAAAATTTCTATCACGTAGCTATGGTGATTCCGCTTTACGTATTAAAATAATAGATGGTATCCTTTTCCTCGTGTCTAAGCCCTCTCCAATGCAGCCTAATATATATCCCTGAGTAGAGGTTTCGAAAAGAAGTCCGCAGAATTGATGCACCCACTAGAGATTCTTTATAACGAACCTGTTCCTGAGGCGCTCCCCATACTTGATGATGCCTAATGACACGGGGAATAGTGCGACGGCGATGAATCCTAGTGTACTGTTACCCCACCCGATACCCAGTTTGTCGTACATCGGTAGTCCAGCCAGTGGGAGTACGGCACCAGCTAAAGATCGAACGATCGTATTGCACGCTATAGCGGAGGCGGCGTAAATGGTGAAGGCGTCGACCAGATATAATTGAACAACCATAAAGACGATTATGTTTCCGATACCGACAATAGCTGTTCCGATGATAGGGACAATCCAATGGACCCTATATTCAGCTGTCCACCCGTAGATAAATAAACCTGCGGGAATTAGAAGGGCTCCCACAGGGAGCAACGGTAAGCGATATTCTGGCTTCATGCCAGCTTTAGGTTCGCCAGTAGCTTGGGCTATCGCATCGGCTTCCGCAGCTTTCTTCCGGATGTATCTATCCGATGTAGCGCTGAAAAGAAAGATACCAATCAGACTGCCCACTCCAAGTCCAATAAACGCCAATCCAACAGTGCTTGTTGAGAAGCCGTAGTATCCCTGGAACACCTCGGTCATAGTTGTAAACATTAGATAGAGATAGCCGTATGTCACGGCCATGTAAAGCGACGTGATGGCGATGACTGGAGAAAGGAACAGCATCTTGAAGGGGCGAATGATACCTCGCTTAAAGTAGTCCCTAGGCGACAAACCGGCATCGAGTTTCGATCGAAGTAACTCATTTCCGGTCTCCTTACGCAACTTGATCGTCTTCTTCTGAAGAATTACGGGGGCGTAACTCTCCTTAACGGAGAAGAGCATAAGAATAGCAAGAAACCCACCAATAATGGCCAAAAGCCAGAACGACCACCTCCAACCCTCAGCATCCGATAGAAAACCTCCAGCAACGGGTCCGACGATAGGGCCTAGAAGCGGACCGATACTGAAAACAGCCATTGCGGCCCCTCGCTTCTCTTGCGTGATCATATCAGCAATGGTGCCGCCGCCATTCGTAATCGCGACGGAACCGAAGACGCCAGCAAAAAATCGGAAGATGATGAGAGCGTTTAACGTTGGAGAAAGCGCACATCCGACCTGGAAGGCGATGAATCCTAGGTTTCCGATGTGGTAAAGGATTACTCGACCATATATCTCGGACAACGGCGCAAACAACATAGGACCCGCTGCGAAGCCCAACACGTACACCGAGACCACGAACGCGGCGATTTCTAAGGACGTCGAATGAAACTCGGCTACCACCTGAGGAACGCCGGGTGCGAATATGGCTATGCGATGGTTAATGCTTATCCAATATGTACACGAAAACGAATGCGACATGTAGAGAAGACTTACATGATGCTAAGGGAGAAACGAAAGTCATGGCACTGATTAGTCCGCAGTTGACAACCTTCCTCCACGTCGGCCAATTATAAGGATTCTCTACGTCGTCGGGTCCGGTCCACCAGACAATGTTAGGATCACTATCGCTATCTTCGCCATCGTTGCTGCTTGATGCCGTTTCTCCAGGCGCTTGCGCTTTCTCGACATCGCGGTCTGCCCGACTCTTCTTACTAGCGAAGGAGTTTCGCCTCCGCTCGGCTTTCGATCGTTGTCGCCTAAGCTCCTCTTGCTCGTCGAGCACAAAACCCTGGCTCGACGGGATATCTGCGTCATGTCCTTCGTCTACCGCCTGGCTTATCTTGCGCTGCAATTGCAGCTGCGCTTCTCCAGACTCATCATCGAGTCCTCCATCTGTGTGCGTTCCAGAAGCAGTTGATGCTGCGCTGGACACCATCGCTGTTTACTGGGGTTTACGTTAACGTCTTGTCTTTTTTAAATAAACAATTTATAATTGATATTCATATAAACATGAGATACGCTAGGGGTTTGCGGATGGATAGCCCTTGACTATAAGTCTCAAAGCTCTCAAACTAGCTAAGTGGGAAAATGCTTACTTGTGCTTGGCTTCTCTTAGATTTCTTGGAGTTCTTGGGCCCTGAGGGGAAGATGGGACCCTAACTAGACTGATCTGCACTGTAACCAAGTCGGCTTGTCGTTGCGTGTCCAATGCCGGGGTGTTAGTTTGCGACTCTAGTTACCTGATATATGACTAGCTTGATGTCGCGCCGCGTTAGGTGATAACCGCTTGGAGTTCTTGCGGGATCTCTCGATCATCTCATCAGTGGGATAAGACACTACAGAAAGAGAAGAGATGGGAAGAAGGGACGAGTGTAGGTTTATCGAACCGAATCCCGGCCATGGTCGGGTTGACTAATTACTGTAAAAGCGATGTCACGCTTTTACCAGTAAAACATTCGATTGGTTCTAGTTGGTGACAACGCCAAGGGTTAAAGGGGAAGATGTCGGTAAGGACTATGCATTTATCGGTCGACCGTCCGACCAGCCGAGTCCGATTTTGTGCAAGGTCGGGGCTCTAGAAATCTTCTAATACATACATACCTTAGATCCTAGCGATCCTAGAGGTATATATTTGGGGCATCCTGGCAGAATGTAGTAGGTAAGGTGGATACGAAACCGACGAAACGAACCCCAATGTTCCCATCATTCCATTATTACCCGTTGAGTGCCAATGAGATTGATTGGTGGGCGGTTGTTAGTTGAAGAATCAAGCGCAAAAATCGGCAAGCAATCATTTTGTTCTGAATATTGCCAATTTGCGGTCTATACCGGAAGGTCGTCCAGGCATACTGCCCGTGCACGCGTCCGTGTCCGAGTTCGCATCTTTTGCTATCCATATTCAACTTCACGATCCTCGACAGTTTCGTCACTGCAATCAATGGTGGTTCAGCCGTCCTACACTGCACATCATCAGCTTACACAACAGCTCGTAAAGATCCGAACTCGATCCGAGCATAAAAAAAAGGGTAAGCTGAAGGTTACAAAGCAGGTAATAATATCCGCGGCTAAGAATCTTCAAGAGCAGGGTTTAATTGCCCCAACTTCCCATTTAAGGTATCACGGCAAATGCGAGACCCGTTTATTGGCACCTACACCTTTACATACGCTTGCTTCGGCATAACGTGTAAGCGCGAAATACCAACGATGGTAAAGTTGTACCTGCGGATACACATATTGATCTAAATAAAACTAAATAAATCGGCTTAGTATATACATCAGGTACGCATATTCTCACAGCTTCGCAATCCTTCCCAGCTGATTCTATGAGCATGACTGCCTAACATAGCTTCCACGCGATACATCGTCCGTTTTACAGCTGTTCCTATTTTGCGTTGGTCTTATGTTGGCCCCATGCAAAACCTAACGTTGTGTCGGAGATATATAGGAGATATAGGGCACCACTCCACATTTAAGTCCGGAGATCGGTGGCTTGTACTACCGTCAGCGGGTGGGAACGGATATTGCGAAGACTCCGGCCCGCGCCCTATGTCCGGCATCATCCGAGCCAGTATCCACCAATCCTCTCCGGCTTCCATCTTTTTAAAGAAGGGTGTATGAGAGCACTTCCCGAACAGAAACTAAGTTTTAAAGCCATAATACAGCCCCAAACTGCTTAGGATTCGTAGTTACCTTGTCTTCAAATATAAGGTAAAGTACCCTATTAATAACTTTACATACGACATTGTTTGAGGGGAGCAATATTCCTATGTAGCCAAGGATGACGTAGAAGTACTGGGACTCCTGTGTGATCACCAATATAATGGCACCCGTTACCTTAAGTACTTATGCGCGATTCATCGGGGGTTGAAGTTGGCCTTAAGAGAATCCCTAGCTTAGCAATTCGCTATGTGAGATTGTAACTGGAGTCGCTGACATGCGACCAATTATATACAGCTCACCCAACCTTGAGTACACATAGCTCGTGATAATTTTCAGAAGGCATTGAGACCTTCATGCGCAAGAAGTCCTACAGTCGGAATTTATAGCAATGCCTCGAAACCCGCTTATACCTCTCAGTCGACCGATAAGAAGTCCTATTATGAGATGAGATGGATTACCCGAAGTGGGGGTTGAAGACCCCATCGAAATGGAATAGTAAAGCTACGAGCGGAGAGGGCCATGGAAAATAACCGTATAAGAAATATGGCAAGAGAACGCTCTTGAAATGCGCTCATGATAGAAATACACTCGAATTCTCATTTATAAACGGGTTCAGTATTGATAATTTAACTTCAATCATTGGCAACAGGAAGCAAGAAGCAATCTCAGGAACCGACTCAAATGGCGACAGAAAGATCAGAAACAAACGTAAGTATATGCCTCCATTATACCACAATTATCAATAAACTAATTCCTTACTCAGAAATCCCCTGATACCAATGGCCTTCATGTCGCCATCGTCGGTGCAGGAATAGGCGGTCTAGCTTGCGCGATAGCATGTCGTCGAGCGAACCCGCCCCTCCAAGTCACCGTTCTTGAGCGCACGCCCGAAATCCTCACCATCGGTGCTGGGATCCACATTCCGCCGAATGCCTGCCGGGTTCTGACTCGCTTCGGACTTCTCGAAAAACTCAAGCAGGCCGGCGGATACCAGGTGGAGGATTTCACGCTAAGGAGATATGAGAATGGCCAGATCCTTGCTGAGAAGCCGCTCAAGGATAGGATGGAGACGGAGTATGGGGCACAATGGATGTAAGAGCAGATAAGAGACATCGTAACCCCCAATTACCAGCTTGTTAAGAAGAGAGAACGCTGACTGGATGATTGGATCCGAAAAAAAGAGCAATACATAGGGGAGACTATCAGAACGTACTACTTAAGGAGGCTCGAGCTGTTGGGGCAGTTGTGTTGACGAGCGCAGACGTGATTGGCATCAACCTTGCTTCTAACGGCTCTCAGAACTTGTTACTAAAGGATGGAAGGCAGATTAGCGCAGATGTAGTAATCGGCGCGGATGGTATGTCGAACCTGTTCTCCAAGAAGCCCATCCATATTACGAAAACTAAACCCATTGGATAGGGCTGTGGTCTTTAACCCGAGAGATCGTCTTGGGACGGCCCTTTCCGCCAACAGAAACGGGGGATCTTGCATATCGTGGCACTTTCACGCGCGAACAGCTGAAAGGGCTTAATAACGAACGAATGGATAAGCTGCTGGAGCAGTCGAATATACAAGTATGGCTCGGACCTGGAAGACATGCCGTTTTCTATCCTCTAAGGAATCATACAGAATACAATCTTGTCTTGATGTAATCCCCCTTACGAAACTTTAGAGCGGTAGAGTTACTGATTACTTATAGAGCCGCGGACGATCTACCTAGCGGCGTGCGTACCTCAGAAGGCAGTCTGGCGGAAATGGCAGCCAACTTTGAAGGATGGGATCCAATGTATTTGCCTTCTCCTAACCCCTTAATTCTGGGAGTATAGCTAAGATCTATCTAGTCTCAACGAAATCATTTCATGTCTGAAGACCGCATTGAAATGGAAGCTCCTCCACTTCAAAGAGCTTGACCAATGGACTAAGGTATGGAAGCATAATAAAGCCTGGGGCCCTAAAGTGAATACGTATTTCTATTTTTCTAACTTCAAATAGGGTACAATCGCTCTATTAGGAGATGCCTCGCATCCAACACTACCATATCAGGGCCAAGGTGCCGCCATGGCCGTCGAAGACGGTGCTATCCTTGGCCTGCTTCTAGACAAGTTCCAAAGCGCAGGTATCCCATCAAACCAAGTAGAGAAAAACGAGAAACTAGCGAGTCTTTTCCGCCTGTATGAAGGTCTACGCAAGAAGCGGACGGAAGTTAACGTGGCCGGTGCGGTGCATACCCGCCATTACTACCACTTGGCTGATGGCCCGGAGCAAGAGGCGCGCGACAAGGAGTTGGCTGGGCTGCCTAGCGGGGAGTGGAAGGGACCATGCTCGTTTAATTGGGGAGATGCTGAGTATCAACGGAGCTTGCTCGGATTTGATGTTCTTGCTGATACGGAAAGGAGATTTGACGAGTGGTTGGGAGATGTTTAATAGGGGTAAGATTATAGCATTAGCAAATTTTAAGTAGGCGCCGATATGTAAGGAATATCTGAGGTAGATATCTCAGTTAGTATAATCTAGTAGAGTCCACAACCGAGGGGTAATAAATGATGCATACCTAGGTATTTAGCTATTCACGTTGTTAAATCATTTCCTCACGAGTATCCGGCTGTAGGGTTTCACGTACAACCAAGGCTTCTCAAGTGGGAATGCGGCGAAAAGCTACAGTATTGGAATATAATAAAGCTGTCTAGGATAACATGAAAGGTGCTATACTGGAACTTCTTTATTTCCGCTAGAGGCGCATAATCACGATGCTCAAGAAGTAAATTTCTAGGAGATCGCATCGACACGGACTTTCTTCCCATGTAAAACCCCGCCAATAAGTTCCATCGTAGATATTCCACACCAAATACCATGTTCCCAACGAGGCAAAGACAACGATAAAAAATTTCCTTCTCTTTTTCCTTGAAATAGTTTCATTTAGATGAGGTAATTATAGTCTTCTCTACCACTGGATATATAAGGTCGTACATAGCTTATCCCACGGTCGGCACTCGCGTGTAATAACACTTGTAAAGTCAATGTTCAGTTCTATGTAGTCCATAATTTCTTTGCGAGTATCGGGGTAGACGAGAAATAAATACCTCCAACCATGCTTCAGAATGATTTTACCAACTATTATGCTCGTAGTTTATGCATTGAAAGTAGACTTTGTTGGCTTCCATAGTACTTATAATATCAGGTAATGCTAACTAAGCCATTACCAAATTATCTTTATAGTCTTGTGACAAATGACAAATGCGAGATGTTTAAGTGGTCCCGGTAGCGTAATAGGTACCCCTGGGAAATGCATGCACCTATGGAGTCTTACTTGATGCTTACCGGAAGCTTACCCATACCGCCGGTAGGGGTTTAGAATCCCGGGGTGGGTCCGACCCGAGAGTTTGGTTGGATTAATTGCGCTGTCAAAGGTGTAAGTATCCGCAAGTGGGTTATTTCTCCTCCAGCGGAATACCCGATCGGTTCGTTTGCGGGCCAGGTAAAAGCCGAGATGGAGTAGCTTAGCTTATGGCATCCCCGAGCGACATTACATAGCGCTTAGTTAATGGAGATGAAGAATAAGAATGGAGAGGGAGCTTAACGGTCTCTTAAATGCTCTGGAGTTGATTGATAACTTATTTTAACGTAGATATAGTTTATCGACGCTGCTTCATTTTCTTGTTTCGTTACATATACACGTATAGCAGCACTAACACGCAAACTCATCAACCATGGCCGGATCAAATGGGACGTCCGGTGGCTCACCGTTCTTCTTACTACACGTAGACTATCTCATCATAGGAACCGGACCTGCGGGTGGCGCCTTGGCAGCCTTCATGGCTTCATATGGTAAGAGCGAGAAAGAATGGGAACTTTGCGTATTTTCATGATGTCCTTGCAATAAGAATTATTAGTATCTAATGTGAAATTTCTCTTAGGCATGAAGGGTCTCATTGTAAGCCAAGATCCGAGCAATGCTGATACGCCGAGGGCTCATATCACCAATATGGCTGCATTGGGTATGATGGAGACCC